GAGGCATTTATAACCAACACCATATTGACAGTTATATATAATTACAGTTTGAGGTGTTTATAACCAACACTATATTGACAGTTATATATAATTACAGTTTTAGGTGTAATAACCAACACTATATTGACAGTTATATATAATTACAGTTTATGGTGTTTATAACCAACACTATATTGACAGTTAATTATAATTACAGTTTATGGTGTTTATAACCAACATCATATTGACAGTTATTTATAATTACAGTTTGAGGCGTTTATAACCAACACTACATTGACAGTTATATATAATTACAGTTTATGGTGTTTATAACCAACACTATATTGACAGTTATTTATAATTACAGTTTGAGGTGTAATAACCAACACTATAAACAGTTATATATAATTACAGTTTGAGGTGTTTATAACCAACACTATAAACAGTTATATATAATTACAGTTTGAGGTGTTTATAACCAACACTATATTGACAGTTATATATAATTACAGTTTTAGGTGTAATAACCAACACTATATTGACAGTTATATATAATTACAGTTTATGGTGTTTATAACCAACACTATATTGACAGTTATATATAATTACAGTTTGAGGCGTTTATAACCAACACCACATTGACAGTTATATATAATTAAAGTTTATGGTGTTTATAACCAACATCATATTGATAGTTATTTATAATTACAGTTAGGTGTAATAACCAACATCATATTGACAGCTATTTATAATTACAGTTTGAGGCATTTATAACCAACACTATATTGACAGTTATACATAATTAAAGTTTATGGTGTTTATAACCAACACGTTGGTTATTACACCTAAAACTGTAATTATATATAACTGTCAATATAACTATAAACAGTTATATATAATTACAGTTTGAGGTGTTTATAACCAACACTATATTGACAGTTATATATAATTACAGTTTTAGGTGTAATAACCAAGATCATATTGACAGTTATATATAATTACAGTTTATGGTGTTTATAACCAACACTATATTGACAGTTATATATAATTACAGTTTGAGGTATAATAACCAACATCATATTGATAGTTATTTATAATTACAGTTTGAGGCGTTTATAACCAACACTATATTGACAGTTATATATAATTACAGTTTATGGTGTTTATAACCAACATCATATTGACAGTTATTTATAAATACAGTTTGAGGCATTTATAACCAACACTATATTGACAGTTATATATAATTACAGTTTGAGGTGTTTATAACCAACACTATATTGACAGTTATATATAATTACAGTTTATGGTGTTTATAACCAACATCATATTGACAGTTATTTATAATTACAGTTTGAGGTGTTATAAGCAATGCTATATTGACAGTTATTTATAAATACAGTGTGATGTGTTTATAACCAACACTATATTGACAGTTATTTATAATCACAGTTTGAGGTGTTATAAGGAATGCTATATTGACAGTTATTTATAAATACAGTTGAAGTGTTATAACCAACACTATAAACAGTTATATATAATTACAGTTTGAGGTGTTTATAACCAACACTATAAACAATTATAAATATTTACAGTTTGAGGTGTAATAACCAACACTATATTGACAGTTATTTATAATTACAGTTTGAGGTGTTTATAACCAACACTATATTGACAGTTATATATAATTAAAGTTTATGGTGTTTATAACCAACACTATATTGACAGTTATTTATAATTACAGTTTGAGGTGTTTATAACCAACATCATATTGACAGTTATATATAATTACAGTTTATGGTGTTTATAACCAACACTATATTGACAGTTATATATAATTACAGTTTTAGGTGTAATAACCAAGATCAAATTGACAGTTATTTATAATTACACTATAATGAGAATTATCCAACACTATATTGACAGTTATATATAATTACAGTTTTAGGTGTAATAACCAAGATCATATTGACAGTTATTTATAATTACACTATAATGAGAATTATCCAACACTGAAAACTTGCAATGCTATATGAAGTTGTATAGTAATAGATGTTAACTTTAAAAGCTTTTTGGAATACCTGAGTTTCTTGAATAACTTGTTGAACATCAGGGGCATTAACTTCACTCTCTTTCTCCTTCAAAAACTTTAGGGAGATAAATATATAAACATTTTATACTGACTGACAAATGAACTATAATACTATATTACAAGCTGGAAAAAAAACTAAAATGTTGTGAAAATCTCTGGTGTATACTCTGAAAGATGGCAAAATATTGGAAAACCAATAGGCTTAAAATTGTTACAAAAAATACAAGTGTGTCAGGTATATCTTTTGTCACACAAAAGTCACATCACTAGCCAAAACGTATTTTGTAATAGTATAAACAAAGCAGTGGAAGCTAGTGAAATATTGGAAAATCAATAAGCCTAAAATTGTAATAAATTAAATTAACTGCAGATTTTTTTTTGCCTCTTTATTTATTCCTTGAAGCCAAAGGTGTGTAAAAATAGCATTTCAGATCTATTTTTCATCTTATTGTCCAATAAACATTTTGTTCAATAATTAAATGCTTAAAACTTTTATAAAAACAAGTTAACTGTAGATGATTTTTTTTGACATTGCTTGTAATTTGCCCATCTATATAATTAAAGGAGTAGCATGTGTTTTTCAATGGGAAACTTTCCAAATTTCATTAGACAATGTGAATATGAAAGTAGGAGTAGGAAAGTAAGGACGATGTCACCATATAAATAAGGGATGGGTGGGTGTAGATAGTACTATGCATTTAAAATAAAAAGGTATTTGGGGAATGGATCTGTCATCCCCCAGAGCCCCATCTCAGACAGAATTGTCTATGTGTTGTGCTTTTTTGTGTGAATTTCTCCATTTGTTTACAAAAACTTAGAATACTGGTACTATCATGCTGCTGAGTTTTAATAATTGCCCCCAATACCCAGGTTTTTAAATCATCACTAGATCTGATGTCTGTTAATCAATTGGTTTGTCAGTTTTTGTTTGACCATTTGGCTCAAAGTGTCTTTTGTACTAGAGGTTTTTGATAGGTATCACATATGGAATAGGTTTAAACCACTTAGGTTTGACACTGTAGTCAGTGAGATGCCCTACACAGCCATCAGCTTCGTTCAGAATTTTATGTATCTAACATAATACATGAGTAGTCTAGGCAGGTCATTTAACTATTTTAACTACTTAAAATACACAGCACTGTCTTTTATCAAATTTGTGCATTCAAATACAATATACCACAACCAAAAAAATTTTCATACACTGAAGCACGAGTTTTATATTATATATGAGAAATATATTTGTGTATTCAACTAATTCAATAAATTTAAAAAGTGAGTAAGTTAAAAAGTAATACCTGTTCAACATCATTAAGAAATGCAATGACATTTCCTATTGTAGTATTGATACTGTCCCATTTTGAGTGTTCTTCACTTATGTCATGCTGATGTTGAGACAACGTTGTAATCATCTGCTGGATATGATCCTTGGTTTCTTGTAATTTCTTTTTGAGAGCACACCGAGCCTTTGGACCTACCAAGAAGGACTGAGATAGCTCAGAACATAGTCTATCTAGTTCACCCAAATCTTCTTCTTTACACTTCATATCATCAACCATTTGCTGTCCAAAACAAACAAGATAAAAATAAATGTTTTAAAAGATGTCACAGGATATGTATCATAATGTTGTTGTTTTTGTTAGATGGGTTTCTTTAAATAATTTGGTGATAATTATTCAAAGTCCCATATAGGTAACAATAAAAAATTAGTTTATTTCTTCCTTAATGTCTCAACAAGCTTGTACACTGTTGTAGCTTCTAGGACTAATTTTACAAATGACATTTAAACAGAAATATATAAGTAACTGCACCAAGCCTATGGTAAAAATAAACTTACTTGTGCAATTTTATAGTAATTGAATATACATGGTAACTAACACTGATACAAATAGTTAACTAAACCTGACATTGTACCAACATAAAACAGAATAGGCTAATTCACTGAAAGTAAAACATACAGATTCTTGTATTAATAATCTAGTCTTTTCTCTAGATACTTCACAAAGTTACTAGGCTTTTATTACATCATATAGAACATTTTGTGTCTACTCCCACACACTTACATGATTTTGATGTAATGTGCCCTTTAGTTAATATCCAAATTAAAATGTTTAAAATATAACAAAATATCAAACTAAATACATGTGGCAAAAACAACTGCTAACACACTGGAAAACTAAAAGACAGAATACCTTATTTAAAGAGAAGTAGTTTTTATACACATTGAAACAACAACATTCTTGAGATCTAGGTACATGTTAGTCCCCAGACTTATTTGATGTCTATATACAAATATTATGTACATAGTATAATGTTAAAGTTAAGATTTTTTTACACTGAAAATGTATTTCCGATAAGTACTTGCCTTCGATCACACAAAGCTATCTCGATCTCCTTTCTGCTCCTAAGCATTGCTAAAAACTTTTAACATTCAGTGCACTAGTCTATATACTCCACACATTTCACACCATTTTTGAACATGTATGTAGCATGCGACCACTTTCCACCAATAATATTGCACCATCTATATTGGAGTAGCTAGCTCTCTCTGATGTTCCCACTCAATCCTCACTTTCAAGAATTGGCAGGATCTAAAATGAATAACCCCCAGAAGTGGGGAGGAAGGGTGGTAAGCTCGTGATTGGAGGTAAGTGGTATCTGGAATACATTTTCAGTATAAGAAAATGTTAACTTCTGATACAGTGCAGGTCCTTAACAGTGAAACCAAGCAGAATTCAACCACCTAGAAATAACTGGTGTGTTCAGAGATAAAATTGAAGCATGTATATGGGGCACTGCACTACTTTTGGAACAGGTATGCTCTTTGCATACAATAGTATAAAAAAAAAGGGTGTGAGTTCGAAATATCCTGCATTGCACAAACTAAACTGGAAAACAGCCAGCTCCTGTAGGTGAAGAGCCACTCTATGAAATGAAAAGTCAAAGTGAACTCAATACCTACATAAGGTGAAATGGCAAGTCAAGGGATGGTTCACTGAAATATAATGTTGGGTTAAACAACTAGCCTTGGCTGTGTATCTACCCAACTTCAACTGGACAGACAAGGTTCCAGGACTCATCCTCAGCTGTAGGCTGAGGATCACCCAGATATAAATGAAATTAGAGTAACTTAAACATTATGGTGAGGGCATGTGGACATTGTGATATATACACACCAGCCCTAACTGTAAGTGAACAGAGTGTCATACATCAAGCACCCAAAACTACGAAAAGGAAGTTAGCATTCGGCCAAAACCACCGTAGGAGCAAGAAGTATGACAAACTGAACCCTGCTTTATGGGGTCCCGGTGTTGTCTCAACTGTAAACACAGAGCAATACCTGTATCTGGTATTAAGATCAAAAATTGATTCTGACAATTGGTCCACCTGGGAATAAGCATCTAGGGGAAAGGGGAGGAAGGAACCCAGCTTTGCTCTCTTCTCACTGAGTAAATAAATGTGTGATTTATTGTAAGGTAAATTTCTACTTCACACTCAGGAGGAAGCCTCATTGGTCCACCACCCCAGAGATTAGTAAGTGGAATGGACTCTATTGCTCCACTTGGAGAAAACAAAAGGGAGGGGGGAATAAATGCAATAGGGAATCTGGAGGAATATCATGCCAGAAAAAAGTGCATGGGTGTCCATGATTCCCTATTTTGAAAAGCAAAACATCCCCAATTTATGCAATAAAAGGGGAGGCAAAGATGGGTAAAAATTCCCTTTTGCTTTACTCATGATAGTACATGAATGATGGCCCATCATTGAGTTAAACTTATGGATATCTATAGACACACATGTACATACCACTAGGCATGCCACTAGTGATCTTGCAGAACACCCCATCTCTAAAGTGAGTATTATAGCTCTACCACTATATAGTGCAGGTTTTAGTAAAATTACACCTGACCAGGCAACACTCGTCACAGAGTGGGATCCTATGAGTAACAGTAAAACAGTGTACCTGAAAAAAAACAAAAACATAAATGAAATGTTGTGAAAAGACATGACTACGTCAAAGGTGAACAGATGTGTGTAGCTAAATAGTGCAGATAATGAGTGATGAAGAAATAGCCCACATTCTGACATAGTGATATGACAAATTTGATGAGAAGAAATGATAAGGATATGGTAACCTTCCATGGTAAGTCTGAATATGCCAGCCTAAGGAGTTGATGAACTCAACCAGTTAGTGTGACAGGGAATAAAAGGTTGGGAACGTAAACCCCGAAAGAGGCAGTACATGCCATATAACACTGCAGGGAGCAAACCTGACAAGAAAGCCAACTGGGATCAAAATGAGAGTACAGGTGGGAAACAAAGTAAAGAAATGGGTGTCAAAGCCAAATGGTCTCTCCGGACAACAGAGGTCTTAAGAAGGAAGACCAGTTTGGTAAGTTGACATAAGAGGAATGGTAGATGATTCTGGTAAACATGGATAGCATAAAAATGTGATTGATGATGTCTGCAAGGGAGAAAGAAAAGGAAACATATACCACATACTGGATTAACCAGCTGTAAAAAAAAAAAGGTTAGAGAGTAACAAACCAAATTAAGAAGGTGCCGAAAAAAGTGAATCCAGCTTTTGTCTCCTTGATTATATTCATCCTCACATTGTTAGGTTGAAAATGAGAAGAAATTGCCAGCCAAACATAGGAATCTAACTCTCTGCGAATTAAGGCCTGTACCTTCTCAGCAGTTAAAATGGAACCCAATGTTTGGGTAGTCATTCCAGAAAGTTGTCTACTGTAACAAGTATTTCCATTGTTGATTCATTGAATTGTGAAGACATGCTAAGTTACCATATAATTCGGTAACAATAAACAAATGCAAAAAAAAAATTGAAACCATTGAATGCAAACACAGTAAAAGAAAACTGTTGAAAAAGGTATCGAAATGTCAACAAAGTACAATCATAAATGGTAGTTACATTTGAAAAAACACAACTGTCTAAATGATGTTGTGCCAATCCAAAAAGTGAGGATTGAGTGGGAACATCAGAGGGAGCTAGCTACTCCAATATAGGTGGCACAATACTATTGGTGGAGAGTGGTCACATGCTATATACATGCTCAAAAGTGTGCTGAATGTTAAATTGTTTTTAGCAATGCTTAGGGGGCAGAAAGAAGATCAAGATGCCTTGTGCGAGAGGAGGCAAGACCGTATATATAAACAATATTTCTTTCTCTGTACTTGCATTTTTGTCTGTATACAGGAATTATGTATAATGTTAACATAGTTTATTTCTCTACACTTGCCAGCATTACTCTGACTTACATTATTTTTCACATTACAATACTAGTTTTACTTACCTGGATGGCTGCTTCATCAAACCTTACAGTAGAAATCACAAAAATTCTAAAGAGCTGGACCTCAGTTTCAGATGACCAACTGGTAATGTATTCAAAGTTGTTATAAAACTGATCCCACAACATCCAAACATCCTTATGATCCTGAAGAAGGTCACTCACCAACTCCTTAATAGTTTTCCACCTGGTTAATAGTAGAAACAATGTTATTTGTCCTGAAGAATTATTTATGTAGTTCATGTAAAGATTCTCTGACCATTTTAGAACTTAAAATACTCCCAAAAATTGTCTTGTACGAGTCTTTTCATTTTGTAGTTTAGAAAAATACAATTTTGTATACTTAATTTCCAACCTTTCAGCCAACACATGTATGACCCAGAGACTGATTAAAATAAGTCAAGATTAGCTGTGTTTTCAACAGAATAAAAGAAAAAGAATGACACACAATGTTTGAAATTATTTGATTCATATCTACAAAGAAATAAGGAAAATATAAAATGGATGACAGTGTTTGATTCATATCTACAAAGAAATAAGGAAAATATAAAATGGATGACAGTGTTTGATTCATATCTACAAAGAAATAGGTTAATATAAAATGAATGACAGTGTTTGATTCATATCTACAAAGAAATAGGAAAATATAAATGGATGAAATTATTTGATTCATATCTACAAAGAAATAGGTGAATATAAAATGGATGACAGTGTTTGATTCATATCTGCAAAGATTTGGTTGGTTAGTTTGTAATTAAGCACAAAGCTACACAATGGGCTATCTGTGCTCTGCCCACCACGGGTATCGAAACCCGGATTCTAGCATTGTAAGTCTGCAGACATACCGCTGTGCACTGGGGGGCATCTACAAAGAAATAGGAAAATATAAAATGGATGACAGTGTTTGATTCATATCTACAAAGAAATAGGTAAATATAAAATGGATGACAGTGTTTGATTCATATCTACAAAGAAATAGGTAAATATAAAATGGATGACAATGTTTGATTCATATCTACAAAGAAATAGGTGAATATAAAATGGATGACAGTGTTTGATTCATATCTACAGAGAAAGGTAAATATAAAATGGATGACAGTGTTTGATTCATATCACAGAGATATAGGAAAATATAAAATGGATGACAGTGTTTGATTCATATCTACAAAGAAATAGGTGAATATAAAATGGATGACAGTGTTTGATTCATATCTACAGAGAAATAGGTAAATATAAAATGGATGACAGTGTTTGATTCATTTACACACAGAAAAACTTAAATATAAAATGGTTGAAGGTGTTTGATTCATATCCATTCCAAAGTATTTAAATAAAGCATATGATACCTTTCTTGGACTTGATCTAGTGTACTATTCAGGTCTATATGAACTCCAGCTTCAACCTCATCCATTAGTACACTTGAAATGATCTTGAGGTTACTTATTAGGTTTTGTCTTTCTAGTAATACCTCCAGAAGAGACTAAAGAGAAAACAGAATAGGTTATTCAATAGGTTAAAGCAAGGCTACCTTTAATAAAAACAATGCAGGATGAACAGAAATTACAAGATGAATGTAGTTTTGGTGAGACAATAACTGTTCTTTTTTATCATTAATTGAATTATCAACTATGAAATTAAAAGTGAAAAGTTAATGAGCCACAGAACTAATATCTTTAGTTAGTTGTAAGAATATCGGTTACAAAGTAAGTTTAAGTTTACCTCTAACATCCTTAGCTGGCCCCTGCACTGACCAATGTCCTGCACAGGATTTTTACACAGCATCAGTTTGTAATCAGTTTCTAGAAGCAGATCATTGGCTAGTGTTAAAGCTTGTTGATAGTTGTTCCATTGGTCAAGCCTTTTGTTTAGTTCTTTGTCAGCCTTCAGAATTAACTCCTCCAAGTTGTGTTGCAATTGCTGTAAATAGATCTGTGTTCCATCAACATGTGCTTTTGTCTCTTTTGTAGTTAATGCTTCTTTTAGGCTGTTACCCAGCTGTTCAATAACTTCTGTGTTCTTTGTTTTCAACTGGTTGGAAATTTCCTGAGAAAAAAAAAAGACTTTTTTATAACATTTTCCAGATTATTTATACTTTAAGAGATTCACGTAATTATTTTGACTATGTTGTACTTCTACATAAATCAAAATTATTTGATACATTAATGATTGTGTACAACATCTAGAAAACTCAATAAAAAATATTTATTATGGCACTTTATTATGACTATATTTCTATCATTATTAACAATGGAAAATTATACTTAACTGTGTCTATATATAGTCTGTTGGACATAAGCATTTCAAGTCTATTGCCAGATTGGAAATCTCTTATTTTTGATTAAAGTTATCATAAAACAAATTACTTGGGTTCTTATCTTTTGGAGCAAATAATATCTTCAACACAGCCATAACCTTAAGGTTTACCATCATATTTGATGAACATGTATCTGTAAAAGTCATTCAGGATACAACATATGTATGTATCTGTCAAAGAGAATCAGAATATATATTGCGCCTAAATCCTCCATCAGTAAGTTAACATTTTCTAAGTTGAAATTCTATTTCCAATAGTACTTATGCCCCCCCCAGTGGCACAGCAGTATGTATGTGGACTAACAATGCTAGAAACCAGGTTTCAATACCTGTAATGGGCAGACCACAGATAGTCCATTGTGTAGCTTTGTGCTTAACTTCAAACAAAAAAAAACAAACAAATAATACTTATCTCCAAACTATCTTAAACTACATCTGTTACTTGGTTAGTAGGGTTTCCTTCCTTTGCCCATCTAAGCATTGGTCTGATTTTTTCTCACTTGCTCCAGTCTCTTATTCACCACCTAATTACCCTTGGTAATATCTGTCTTGTGACATTCTCCCCTATGTCAATGCGCTCTTTATCCTGGTACTGTATATAAGCACCTCATTTAGATAATATTATCACTTTTTGTGACTGACCCAATCAACAGTTTTCACCCCAGCTCTTAGTGAGGAGGAAGTTGGAGAGTGTGAGGAAGGTAAGTATTATTGGAAATACATTTTCGATTGAAGAAAATTTTAACTTCCAAAATATACTTACCTCCTCTCGCACTACAGCTAGAATCCCACATTGATAAGATGGAGAGGCCGGTGAGGGAATAGATCGTAGATGTGCCAATAAAATATAAGCATCCTAGAGTGGGAACTTCACTAGATCCAGAACAGGTATGCCCTTCATCTGGAACCTAATTCCTGCACTGTGGGTGGAATTTGACATGATTTGTCATCACTATTGACCAGGCCACAACCAGGTGGCTGAGGTTCCACTGATCGAGGTTGGAATTATAGATCCATGGTCCCTAAATCCCATGTTGGTGGCTAGAGAACTTCGACTGCAATATATATGTATATACTTGTGGGTGGATCCCAACCTGTACCTATAGAGCATGGTCTCTAAATCCCACGTTGGTGGCTAGAGAATTTGGACTGCAATACATATGTATATACTTGTGGGTGGATCCCAACCTGTACCTATAGAGCATGGTCTCTAAATCCCACGTTGGTGGCTAGAGAATTTGGACTGCAATATATATGTATATACTTGTGGGTGGATCCCAACCTGTACCTATAGAGTATTGAGTTTTGAGACACCAGAATCACGACAAGAAGGTAAGCAACACCGAAGTAGACAAACCCTCTCAACCTGAAGAAGTCTGAAAGGCAACACCTCAAACTCGGAATGACAACATACTGTATGCCTTACTCAACCTGAAGAAAGCAAACTCATCTAGTCTGGAGTTATGAATACTCATCCTCACTCCCCAACTATGTGGGCATGGGAAGTTACTCAGAATTATGGGGAGGAGGACCCAGGATGGGACCACTCTATGTTTGGAATTATAAGGAGACAATAGACTCTCCTCCATGAACTTAACCAATATTGATCAAAAAGAAGGGCCAAACTCAACCTAACCTGATAGCCAAGCATCAAATCTGAACTGGTATTATGAGTAGGCTCCCACAGAGGCTGGTGCCTCTCTTACCAACATCTGGGGGAAAAAAAAAATCCAGGGTCCCGGGTGAAAGGGCTCTCAACTTCACTCTCTTCTCCAAGAGTGGAGGAGATTCAATTGAACACTCTGGAGGAATGACCTCTGTCCTCCACCCCAGTGACTGGAAATTGGGTGTGGTAAGGACTCCCAAGCTCCACTAGTAGAATATGTGGGGAAGGTGGGGTGTAATGTATGTTGGGGAATCCTGAGAAACACTGCTCTGGGAACAGTACAATAGGTGAACCAAGTTCCCTAAATCTTTAAAAGCAAACCGACCCCAATTTATTAAATCCAATGATTGGCAGGGATAGGCAGGATCCCCTTATGCTTTACTCATGATAGTCTATGAGTTGCAGTCCAGCATGGTACAGTAATACCACCTGGTCAGCTGCTAGATGGTCTTATGGAACACCTCATTTCTACAGAGCCTGTTGCAACCGGTATAAAATAAACTGAATAAGTGGTTGCTAGTGCAGAACTGGTTTGATAAAAGCACACCTTCCAGGGAAGCACTCGCCACAAAGTGGGATCCTGTGAAAAAGAGATAAGTGACCCTGGAAACAATATTAGTAATCTAGTGTATGGGGTTAAGGCTTCTAGGGCAGTTCAGTACTGAACATTTTGTTCCCAGACATTTTGCTACCAGTCTTTTTGTTACTAGGCTATTTCACTGCAAGGTCCTTTCACTATCTGTTCCAGCTACGTATAAATGACTCATTTATACAACTGTTTGAGGAAATGATGTCACATGTAAAGCAACGTCAAAGGGCTACAATCTTTCTAATCCTCAGTCATACAGCTACTGCTGTCAGGAGTGTAATTGTAAAATTTTTTGGTCTCCTTATCATTAAGCATGCCACGTTTAGTGACTTCAGCAAGAAATGGAAAGAAGTTAGTGGATGATCTAAACTACATAAGCAAAATGAAGATGGTTTGAAGCAATATTGGATGTGTGAAAATTGATCATGTAAAGCCTGGGTACACACTTATACAGAAAAAGTAGAACACAACATCAATAAAACCAGTTTTGTCTTAAATCTTACCTTTACAGTGTCTAGGGCTTCCATTACTACTTGGTGATGTTGCCTAATAGAATGAGTCAAAATCTCCTTGATATCCCTGCAGTGTTTTTGAAGCCAGACAGAGAGATCTTCTGCAAGTTTTTCAAACTGTGTCCACTGTGTCACTAAGTCTTCCAAGACAGTTAGCCTGAAGTTTACTTCTGATGTAACACATGCCCATATATTTCTCATGTGACCTATCTCTTCTGCCTCAGTCTCCACCTGATAATCTTCTGGTTCATCTTCCCTTATCTCAGCTGCAAGTGCTGTCATGAAAATTTCATTTCTAGCCTCAAGTTCCATCTTTATAACCTAACAACAAAACAAAACAAAAGCATAAAAATGTAGACCAATTTCTTTATTTAGCAATCTTTGTATCTGGTTTGAATGTAATGCTTTCATCTATTTTTGTTTAAAAATAGACCAAATATCTGGTTTATCAATCAGAAGATGCTTGAATGAAGTGGCTATGGTAATTAACTACCATACACTGTCTAAGAAAAACTATTAGGTCTTCAAGAATTTAATGTCAAGTTTTGGAACTGTTATGACAGCGTAAGTCACATGACGCTAGTAACACGTCATGAGATTCTCGAAGGATCTTGACTTTTCCTGGCAACTCTAGTCTTTACTAGGCACCCTCTATTTTAGTACATAAGCCTGGCAAATAAAGTGGAGAGATAATTTCAGATAGACAGGTAATTGAGTGAAGTGAGTGATAGTGACGGTAATATAAAGTATGTGTTTTGTTATTGAGATTGCAAACATATTGACTGTGGAAATTCTGTGTATTACAAAGTTGTATCAAGAAATAAGAAACTAGTTTTAGTTAAGAAAGGACTTGTATCGTTGAAGTTTCTCAGAAAGAATTTCTATAGGAAATTAACAAACGAACAGAGATGTAACAGAACACTTTCATTAACCACCCCCAAAAAATGTACATTAGATATAATAGTTAAACAAACCACCTAAACAACCTAAGTGTCAACGATGGTTCATATGACTGTGGAAATTCTGTGTATTATAAAGTTTGCATCGAGAAAGAATACACTAGTTTTAATCAAGAAAGGACTTGTATCGTTGAAGTTTCTCAGAAAGAATTTCTATAGGAAATTAACAAACGAACAGAGATGTAACAGAACACTTTCATTAACCACCCCCAAAAAATGTACATTAGATATAATAGTTAAACAAACCACCTAAACAACCTAAGTGTCAACGATG